CCTACGCTCCTCCACCCTTCTTGCCCATTCTGTGGCTCCCATCTCTTTCGCTCCATCTTTCCCTCCATCCGCGTTATCACACATATGTACCTCGATATTCCGCAAAGTTCTTCCCTCCCGGAAGCGTGCACTACTATGGGCGAGTTCGCAAATAGAATTAGCTCGCGAGTAGAAAGCTTCGACGTTCGCTCAGACTGATAGTGACGAGAGTGCATTGTAAACGGACTCGCCTTCGTGCCTTCCGTGAGTGCACCGCAAGCCATTCGCGGATCTTCTTCGCGTGCCTGTCCCGGAAAGAGCGGAAGTTATCGAGGAATTCCACGCGAATGCGCTTTTTCTCGAATTAATTGAAATTCCCGATTAATGAGCGCGCCTCCGAGACCGAGAAAATCGGACATTCTCCGCTCCTTGCCCCCGATGCATCGCGAACTGCCGGCAGTGAAACTTCATACAGCTCATCCGCGATAAATCGAAGATGTACACATCTCCATCCTTTTCTCTACATTGGATTCTTCTGCTTGACGGAAATTGATACAGTTTTAACCGGGGAGATCCATCTTGTTTGAGAGTGAGACGTTGCAGAGAGACATTGAAGGATCAGCTTCGCTTGCGCCGAATGGACTGGAGATTACTCCGGAATTTCTCGTGAGAATGTAACGATAATTTTTATAAATAATCTTACACCAATGCGCGGTGCAAGTTCAAGTGGGAAATTCGGATACTGATTCAAGTTTATCGGCTGTTAAATTGGGCCGAGATAAATCATTCGGTCGGTCCCGTAATGCCCATTATTCGGCGACGAGGGGGATTTGGAATATTGTTAGGAATGAGATCCTCCTAGAAATTTCTTATCATTTTTTAATTTATGTTTGTCATGTCATATACGGTTTTCGGGGACCACGTGGCCCTTTCACTGAGTCGTGTATGGATTTATTTTTCCTTCGGGCCGACGTGTCGACGCGGCGCGTTTGTTACACACCCGCCAGTGGCAATTTAAATTTATACGCCTGTAAATTAAAGCCGGCGAGTTTGGTGGCGGTAATGACAGGGCCACGGGTAAATAAATAAACGGCGTCGATTAGCCCGCGAACACGCGGCACGATTCATAAATAATGATATAAAGTATATCCTCGGGGGGCATTATGTACAGGGAAGAGTACACGTGGGTAATGCGGCTGACCTAGCCCAACCTGAAACGAGGCCCATGCAAGCGGTCTAAATTAACCCCATTTGCCCACGCATTCCGACGACGCGCATATTGTCCGTCGACCCTGGCCAAAAGAGCTAAAATAGCCTAAAAAAAAGAAAAATCCAAAAACTCGAGAAATCTCGATGAGACATTTTTAAGGCATAGTCTATATAAGATATCTATAGATACCGGATAAATTGTGCAGAAAGCCTTTCTGCAATTTTCCAGAATTCTTCTTCCGGTGAAACAGGAATTAGAGCCACGTGCGAGTCTTATACATTTTTTTTCTTTTTTATTTTCATATTTTATACGGAGAACAATTCGTCGACTGTTGGGGATATTCCCGAAGTGTATCGAGGCCAGTTACCAAAGGTCGACCCTCGGGGACACTCGCGAAGGCCAAGAAACGTTTCTACTGGGAGACTCTGGCAAATTATGGCAAGTTTCCAACGGAAGTTAATTCGTGACATAATTAACGTAGCGGCATGTCGGGCGCCCGTTAATGCGCAAGTCTTACGCAATGGATCTACATCGCTCGGTCGGTCTCGATTGGCGTCAATGACAGGATGAGGCACGAAAAGTCGTGTCATATCATTTTCAGTATTTTTTCGGGCTAGACTTCGTCCCTTGAAAAGAAAGGTCCTCTCGTGCGACGAAATTGTCTACGAGTTAAGGCGACACGAAGGTGGTGCCCGAGGGGTCAATCGTTTATGAAACTTTTCTCCTGAGATGTATCGGATCGTGTGAAACTTTGCCACACGAATATAGAGGCTCTAAGAAAGGCTTCGACCCCCATGAAAGATCTTCTTCTTCTTTTTTCATAAATAACAAAATATTTACAAACAAAGCTCATAGAAATGAATATTCATGGGAAAGTTTCCAACGATTTGGTACACCCCGGAAGAACGGTTTCATGAATGAGACTCCTTGGATCACTTTCGTATCGCCTTAATGTACTAAAATCAACGCGGAGTAGACCGGATCATTAACACTAGGTTTACGAGCGTTTTTTATATACTTGTTTCTACGAGCACCCGTCAAATTGACGGGTAAACGAAAACACGCATTTTCTTTAAAAAATCGATTTATTCAAATTAAGTCTGAATTAACCAACACTAGGCTTTACGTTTAAATAAATGATTAATAAGTAAAAAATGCTTTTTTAAAAATTATCACGGAAATGATAGGAATGCTCGTCCTCTCATCCTCGGAGTCAGAACTAGAAAGAATACGCATCCTTTTCTTGCTACGACACCCTTTCAAGAAGTTTTCCTCTTCACTATCCGAAGATCCTTCTATCTCTCCACTTTCAATGAAAACTTTCACTCTCATCTTCGCCTCACACTCCCTGCAACGAAACAAATATATATGGATTGTTTATGAAATTAGCTAGTCCGTCATTTTGACGGGTTTCGTAGAGATAGGTATACTACATACAGATTTTAATAATTAGAAGGCTTAGGAAAAAATAATTGTGTGTACAAATTCTTTGGATGAAATGATTAATTTCCGATACAAAAATGGTTAAAATTAATACTATGGTTTTTTCGGTATTTCTTTTGCGAAGTTTGAATTCCGTCAAATTGACGGGTCCCGTAAACCTAGTGTTAACGTATCGCCGCGCTTATCAGTCTTATCGCGCGCACCCGCGGCCCCGCGTAAAGAGAGCAATCTCACGCGGGATTGCGCAGACCTCCCCGTGGAAAAGCTCGTTTGGTCCAATTCCTAAGGGGTTCTAATAGGGCCCAGAGTCCGACCGAGGCCTGTGTATTCAGTGAAACGAGAAGAAGAGCAGCAGCGATCTCGGAAGCCTCCTGGCCGCTAATTAAAGGGCCCGGCTGCCACGACGGGCGGCGTGACCATTAAGCGAGGGTGGCATGCGGCATAATTAGTATCGATCGTCAAACGAGCTTCTGACGACATGCCTACATGCCGCTCGTGAAAGACGGTCAAGTGCTTCGGGTTCCCTCTGAAAGAGAAAATTAAAATAGCGCGACTTAATCACTCCGAAATATCGGGTAAATTACTCGAGGGACGTACTGGCAACTGTAAACTGGAGTTACCTCTTTAATGGCTCGTTACTTAATACCCTATCAATTTCTCACAGAAAGGAAAATGTAAAGAATGAAAACTATGGCGCTTCTTAGTCACCAGAAAACTTGAGATAAATTACTCAAGGGGGGATTTTTTTCCAATCAGTGGACGCCTTGCGTTTCAGTGATTTGTTGGGCGATGTCATCGATCCATCTCCGAATGAAATCATCACGGAAGTAATGGGCTTTTAACCCTATCGTTACCTTGGACGAGATATCTCGCGACCCAGTACTGGCCGATTAACCCTTTCGTTACCTTGGACGAGATATCTCGCGACCCAATACTGGCCGATTAACGCTTTTAGCGAAATATCTCGCGACCTGATACTGGCCGATCAACGCTTTTGACGAGATATCTCGTCAAAACATAACATAATGCTCAAGACATACCATAAGCGACATAAAAACTCAAACGCAGAACACAAAATAATTTGTCTAGAATGTCAAAATATTAGTGCTAGGAAGCTAGATTATCGTCAAAAGCGTTAATCCGCTACTACCGGATCGCGAGATATCTCGTCAAAAGCGTTGATCGGTCAGTATCGGGTTGCGAGATATCTCGTCAAAAGCGTTAATCGGCCAGTATCGGGTCGCGAGATATCTCGTCAAAAGCGTTAATCGGCCAGTATTGGGTCGCGAGATATCTCGTCCAAGGTAACGAAAGGGTTAATTGTCTTAGAGTATCACGTGGATTACTTGAGACGGCAGTTTCTTCGGTTGGAAACTGGCATTGGCAATGGGCGGTCTCTGTTTTTAGTGGCTTGTTACTAGGTGTCCTTAATTTCCCGTTTAAATTCCCCTGGCCTGTAACTCCACTTTTTCCGCCTAATTCCCCCATCAGGCCCGAGGAAATGTTGATTACCACCGCCGGAACTTTTTCGCCGTTAACCTCCCTGCACGTGACTATCTGATGAAACCTAGCCACGTTCCGCCGTTTGCACTTGGCAGCATCGTCCACCAATTAGGGGCTCAATTAGCGTCGTTTCACGACCCTCCGTCGACGTCCGACTATTCTACAACACCGTCGACGACGCCCACGGGCTTCCATTCGCGACATGCCGGGAGCACTGCTCTTGCGATCATCGTCATCGTACAGTACTTGCCATCTATCCGATGTACCCCGACCCAGTTTCCTCGATAAGTTGCCGAGGACCTGGCTAAGCTCTCGGACGGTGTCTCCCCTTGACTCCGATATCCCATTTTCGTTGAAAAGCGACATCGATGCGGAGCCAAACGAGATAACCAGGTCCAATAATTCTATTTCACAGCTGAGTCACTAGACGAAAATTGTTTACGAAATATTCTACGGTGATCTCTCTAAAGAAAAATCGAGGAAACCGACCCCAGTAATTCCAATTCGCGACTTGAAATTAATTATACAATTTTATGCGAAATATTCGGAGGTGTTCGATAAATCTCTCGTCATGGCTCGAGGAAACCGAAGCCCGTAATTCCGATTCGCAACTTGAAATTAATTATACCATTTCATAGGGAATATTTCACCGGGGTTGGATGAATTTCCCTTTAGGGGTGGAGGAGTTAAATTCAATTCCAGGCAGATTGTCCAGGTTTTATTCGCCAGGATCCCATTCGACAGACAACACTCGCGAGAATCGCTGGACGTTTCGACACATTTCATCCCTCGATTTGCTATCAGTTATCGCGGGAAATTTCGAGGTTGATGCTGGGTGGTGCTCCTCGAGTTGCATCGAAATCCATCCTAGCCGACCTCGACTGACGCCACGGACTATTCACAAGGGAGGGGTCCTGGGTATTCTGCGATTTTCGATTTTTTTTTTTCTACGTTTTCCTAACCACCGGAAGAGATAATGGTGGCCCAAGATGGAGAACGCTCGAGGATTTACTCGGTCTCGTTGGTCACTTTCTTCAGAACCTCGGCCGAGCCGGTCGAGGAGGCCGCCTTGTAGCTCGGGTTGTAATACATGTTCGACAGGGAGTAGGACCTGGTGAGACGTCGCTTCGCCGACTTCTTCGGGATCTTCTTCGGGACCCGGGACCGCCTGCGATGTTTCCTGGTCACGGTCTTCTTCTTGGAGACCGTTCGCGACCTCGATGCTTCCGCGAGGTTCCGATGTCCAGACCGGTCCTCCAGCTCCGAGGTCAGGAAATAGTGACCCCTTCGTCTCTTCAGGATCCCGAATTCGATCCCTCTCTTCAGGGCGGTTACCACCTACGGGAGTAAAATAACTTGCAATTATTATATATTCTTGTCTATCCGACCCAGCAGATGAACAAATCCAGGCGTGACTGACATGCGTGTTGGATATGAAATTCCCAAGTTGAAGAGAATCATTAGATTTCATGAATTATCCTTAACGCATTCGCGACCGGCAATTATTTTCCGTTTCAAATACTGAGTACCGGCGAAAATAATGAAATTCTGAAACTGGTTGCCGCAAACTTGTATCTTGTATCGTTATGGACGTGATTCACGTAAGCGGCAATCAGAAATAGAATTTAAAGTGACGTGAATTCACGGCAGCGGTCGCAAATGTTTTAATCGTCCTTTCGCGAAATGCCTCTAGATCGTTGTGCTTATTTTCGGCATAATTATTCATACTTTCTAATTATATTTTATCTCACATTAAATGTCAATAATTAACACAACGGGTTCCTTTCGTAACGTGGGAATTTACGCGTACTACCGTTCCACGAGTATCGCTTAAAAAATTATTCTCTTGATTTCTTTCTCTGCAATTGTACTGGCATTTTCTTTTTCTTTTTGAATGGGTAATTACCTGTCTTTTGGGAGCTCGCTTCTTGTAGGCGTCGGATATGTACCCGACGATTTTTCCAAGGGTACAACCCTCGGTCTCCTTCAGGTTCTTCATCGCGGACACCACCAGGGAAACGGCTTGCGCAGGTCGAGGGGCTCGTTTGCCATCCCAAAGAGTCGGACCCACCATTTTGGCTCGATTATTTCCGAAGACGGGGTCCCTAAAGGGTTTCCTCCTGTAGAGGGTCCTCGGACGTCTTTCTGCAGGACAAATGCCCCCGCTAACCCGAGGGAACGGCTCCTGTCGCCCTGATCCGTCAAGGATACGTCTCGATGACAACCGACAACGTCGTCGGGCGATTGTTCCGAAATTTCCCATATTTTTTCTCAATGCCCTCTGGCGGGAGTTTCGACATTTGGAAGGCCACTAAAAAGCGGGGCGAGAAGAACGGAATTAAATTTCACGATATGGAAGGGAAAAAGAAATTTACACGCCTCGGTTCGGCCGAGACAACGAGTAATATTTCATGGAAATAGCAAGTCGCAGAAGGGCGGAACGTGAAGTTGATGAACACGGTCCCCGTTTCCGGTATTTCGTCCTGGAATTATTTCAAGGGCCCTCCGACCGAGGAGGAGAGTTATTGTAGGTAAATTCACCTCGCAGAATTCAACGTTCGGTTTAATTGCTCCACCGGGGAAGCTTGCTCCTCCCTGATTTGTCAATGCTTAGTTGGCCAAGGGACGAGATTCGCAAATTAAAAAAGCGAAAAGTAAAATAAATCACTCGATCGAAGTTTTTGAAATTACAGTAGCCGCGATGCGCAAGAGACAAGGCGTTCCCTCAGGAGTCGGTCTTTGACTTTACCCTGCATCATTCGAAAGACCGCCATTTTGAAACATGTCGGCGATTTGCTAACAAGTACCAGGACAAATTGAAATCGTGCTTTGGAAATGAAGAAATGCCTGATCGTTCTGTAAAATCATGCGAAAATTGACTTGGAGAGGCGGGAAATGTTGCCATTTATGCATTTCTTTATTTTATCCTTATCATTTATCTCTTATCCGGCGCCGTATTTTCAATCATTGGCCAGCAAACATGGCTACCTTTTTGGAAGTGAATGATATTCCCTTGAAAGAACCATGTCACGTTTGCATCGCTGTTGGGGCACTCGTAGCTGGTCCGAATCTAGTTACTTTGCGCGATGTCCCGCGGTTTTGACAATTTTATACAGGACTGGGAATTGAAATAGCGACGTCGCAAGTGCTGAGGTAAGCATTGCACTTGCGGCATGTACCTTGCTATCGTACCGCGCCGTACGATCGGGCTTAATGCGTTTCCGCTGCGGCTGAACGAATCGAATCATGCCGGTGCATGCACAAATCTGGCACGTCAGATTCGTTTCCAAGGATTACCGTCATTCGGTATAACGGGTGCAACTACCCGTCCGCATGTCAACCCGATGCATCCCATCGGTGCACTCAAAGAGAAGGAGGGGGCACGAAAGTACGCCCCTTGCATATTTTCCTTGGCTGAATATATCCCAGCAACCGCATCGGCAAAACCTCCGACATAGCAGGAGAAGATTCCTGATTTCTTGTCCCTCGTAATGTTAACAGAAAAGAAAAAGGGAAATTATAATAATGCCGAGGTACGCGGAGAAAAGTACGCGCTTGAAGGTTACAGATGTCTGTCTGTTGGAAAGGTCTGTTCTCGATACTGTTAAAAGCTGCCCCATTAACCCCTTCACTTACAATATCGTGTGAGAGACGTGGTATATATCAATCGGGCCAAACGTGAACAAAACGTGTGAGACTTTGAACGTTCAGCCAAATCGTGAAATGGGCCAATGTATGACCGACACTTTTGTTGTTTATGGCACGCGCTATTGGAATTTAAATCGCAAGGCAAGGGGTTAAACAATTAATTCAGCTAATTTTACTTTCTCACCTGTACAGGTAGAAGAAATATTTCTGTAAGAGCCATCTGTAAATGCAGCTGAGAATGGCTGTTAATATTGACAGGGATAAAACTGGGATATTTGAAGCATTATAAAATTGTAGGGGCAATAAAAAGTATCTTTGATATTACAGATTCACTCTGTTCGGGTTATCGTTTTCGGAAAAGTCATTGAAAAGCGTTATGGATCAAATCTGAAGATTTTAGTATTTTCACATTAATTATTGTGTCCATAATATATAACTTCACATTATGGTAAGTCAATCTCGATGGACGAAGTTCTAAACAAAAATATTACTTCACGTTTTTCAGGGATTTCTAAAGATCGTGACAAACATTAACAAGTTCCTATATACGTCAAAAATCCAAGGGAAGTATTCTTTGCTAAATTTTTTAAAAAGTTGTCTTTCTCATATTTATATAAAGAAATTTAAAGTCAAATGTTATGCAACCTTTAAACTATAACATTAAAATGTTTATATTGGAGTTTCTTAAAATTCCTGATAATCATTTTAATGGTATACTTATATTCTATAGGTATGCAGGATGACAAACGGAAATCAAAAACTCCTTTATAACCACCGGAAAGATTGAGTATGATTAATTCTCGATTGTAAAGGAATTTTAGACTTCTGTTTCGACACGTGGGAGAATATCCCATTAAAAGAACTATTTAGGAATTTAGGGAAGTTCTAATATTAACATTTTAATATCGTGACACCTTACAAATGTATATCTGTAACTATTACAGAATTTGATCTGCAATCTTTACAAAACTGTCCTGTTACCTTCCCATATATTGTTCCGTTATTTTTATACGTATCAAGTTGTATTCTTTACAGTTACTTATCTGTAATACTTCCGGATGTTTATCCGTAACACTAACAAATATTTTCCTGTAATCTATGCCATGCCGGGGTGCTGTCTTGGGGGGTGAACTATCACGTTAGGGGTTGTGCAAAAAATTCGATATGAGGTTATTCTAGGAGCAATTAATTAGCAATTAATTTCTCCATGAAGAAATCATATATTACCCTACAATTTTATATGGCCACGTTACGGTGGTGTCTTAAGGGTTGGAATATCGCCTTAGGGGTTGTGCAAAAAATTCGAAATTGGGTTCTTCTAGGAGCAATTAATTAGCAATGAAATCTCCTTTTAAGAAATCAGTCTTTTCTCACCGTTTTCATGTTGCCTTGCTGCTACCGGCACTAGGGGTGGTGACACCCCTTTAGGGGTGAGTAAAAAAATCGAAGTTTGGTTTTTTTGGGAGCAATTAATTAGCAATAAATTCATGCATATACGTCGATTATCAACATTTGCTGTATTATTATTTTTATAAATGTGGCAATGCCAGCTTAATATAAAGCTGGCATCGCCACAGTTTATCGAAAAAACTATAAGAGCAATACATTTTTTTTTGCGCAATAAAATAGCAATAAATTAGCAATAAATTCTGCAACAAATTTTATTGAATTGTGCTACAGTGGCAATGCCAGCTTTATGTACATGATTTTTCTGTAAGTTTAACAGATATCTTTTCTCCGTGTGCCCTCGAGTCTCGGGGAGAGAATGACGGTGGCAATTATGTATGCGCGTTAATCAGCGGCTACCGTGAAATGTAGGGTAATTCCGTTAAAAGGGGGACGTAAGCTGATTCCTCGTTACCGCGTTTCGTGTTCACTCGTTACGTGCACCAGCTCCACAGGGCGTCCATGAAATTGATTCTTTGCTCCCTTCGACGGCTACCTACCGCCGAGAAATGATTGGAAGAAAAAATTGAAGGGGAGAGGGAAAAAATCCATCAACGAGACCGATACTACATTAACGTTTTCCGGTCCGATAAAATGGTTTTGCCGCCCCAACGGAAGAATTCTCCCTCGATTAGTTTCATTTCGTTTTCGGGCCGCGCCGCGAATCAATCGGTCCGGACGAGTGGAGCCGAGTTTCGCCGGCAATCCCACGGGAACACCACGGCCGCGCGCAATTCCCGCGATGTTTTTCTTTTGACGGGCCAAAAGCGACGATTCGTCTCGTCCTGTGCTCCCCCGGGGGGGAATAATGCCCGCGAATCCGCGAAAACGTTCGACGTATGCAAAAACCGCTCTCGCGTTGTTCGCGGCTCTACCCCTGGAGAGGGCTTCCCGGGAAAGGTGATTTCGCTACGTCGTTCGAATTTTCCGACTACCCGTGATAACGCGTTCCGGAGGGTTTGTCGAGTGATTTACTCCGCGGGAGAGTTTATCCGCGAAGTTGCCCAACATTTTCGACACGTGCTGAATTTACAAATCCCGATTTTCCGGGGACTGCGATTTTTCGAGACGGGTACAGTTTTTCTGATATTATGAGGAATCGTCGAATGCGGTGAATTTCGGGACAGGATGAAGAGGCCCAGGCTCCTGAAATTTTTACATTTTAAATATCCAGCTTTCTGAATGAAAAAAATCGTAACTCCTCCTTCGAAGAGGGCTTCCCTGAGAAAAGTGATTTCGCTACGTCGTTCGAATTTTCCGACTACCCGTGATAACGCGTTCCGGAGGGTTTGTCGAGTGATTTACTCCGCGGGAGGGTTTATCCGCGAAGTTGCCCAACATTTTCGACACGTGCTGAATTTACAATCCCGATTTTCCGGGGATTGCGATTTTTCGAGACGGGCACATTTTGTCTAAAATTATGAGGAATCGACGAATGCGGTGAAGCCGCAATTTCGAGTAAAGGATAAAGAGGCAGAGGCTCCTGAAATTTCAAATATCCACATTTCTGAGTAAAAAAAGTCGCGACCCTTCCTCTGGAGAAGGCTTCCCTGGGAAAATTGATTCCGCTACGTCGTTGGAATTTTCCGACCACCCGTGATAACGCGTTCAGGAGGGTTTGTCAAGCGATTTACTCCACGGAAGAGTTTATCCGTGAAGTTGCCCAACGTTTTCGACACGTGCTGAATTTACAATCCCGATTTTCCGGGGATTGCGATTTTTCGAGACCGATACATTTTCTCTGGAATTACGCCGTTTGTCCCCGACCGACAAAACCGCTGCCGATTTTTTTCAGTGGTAATAATGTAAATAAATGAAAGTTACATTGCTTTTGGCAGAAAAGCCGGTGCCGGCACTGGTTTTGCCGGTATCGTCACGGTATGTCACCGATATGCAAGCGGCCTTACGCGGAATCGACAAATACGATAAAACTGCAATTTCAAGTAAAGGACGAAGAGGTGGAGGCTCTTGAAATTTTCAAATTTTGAACAGTCAGATCTCTGAGTCAAAAATCGGGGC